AAACTCGAGACATATATGAGTTGAGTAATGACATTGAGTTGAGTTGAGTTGAAACACAATTTTACGCGTTTCAACCATTATTTATCTATAAAAATAGTGGGGAAAACATGTATTTGGTTAATATTTATCTTTTCATAATTATTCTTTTAAGAAAAGTTGAAGGCGATATTGATTCTATCAAATGAAGAGTTTGAATAAAAATGATCGTAGAATCTCTATAGACTATAATAAAGATATCCACATGGTACTTTCACCATAATTTTGATAGAAGGAATTGAAATTTTATCTGCTGTAACACCTTTCCTATTCTGGAACTGTACAAGTACAACTTACTTTATATAAATAATAATAATAATTCAAGTTGACAACTTTCTCGTTCTATATAACGATTTGTGTATACGAAAACAGTTGGAAAATGCATGTATTTGGTTAGAATTTTGTTTTTTTAAGGAAGAACTGAAAGGCGATGTTGATTTTATAAAATGAACACCGTATGATACTAAATAACACTTACGAATTGCGATGAACGTTGGAATTCAACTTTCAAAGTTTCAACGTCAGACTTCTAAGCTTAGTGCGACAGTTCCAAGGTATACGAGGGCGGCTTGGCAGTGGAATTGGCCCCAAAATAATAATAAAAAGAGATAATTTTATAATAATAGCTTTTTAACTTATTATAAAAGTAAAATTATATTTTTCATCCTTCAAAATTTTATAATTAAATCTGAAAGAGGATCTCCCAATCAAAATTTCATCAAACTTTTGAGTTTGAGGGTTGCTTTTTGCATGAGCTCAGATGAGTTAGTACGCAGTCCCCACTAGAATGAACCTATATATCTTTCTTTATCTCTCTCTCTCTCTCTCTCTCTCTCTCTCTATATATATATATATATATATATATAAATATGTAATGTGACATATAATATATATTAGGGAAAATTACATGTTTAGTACATTTATTATCATTTCTGTTCCATTTTGGACACCTAACTTTATTTTTTCAAAATCATATATAACGTTTTGTTTATGTTTCATTTTGATCACTCGTTAAAACTTAACGACAATATTGACGTGATATTTTTATAATAATTTTTAAAATTTCCACATCACTTGATTTAGTGGTTAAATAAATGTTTGTTTTGCTTAAAGTCTCATTTCGAATTCTAAGTCATTTAAATTCATTTATTTTATGATTATCATTTAGTATAAGTTAAATATAATTGTTGATAAATTTTGCTAGATCAATGACACTAGTTTAGCAACTGCGCGCCTAGTCCCCCAACAACAGTGTTTGTTTTCTTTTCTTTGTCACCATCTTATTGGTAAAGAAAACATTGAAAATGTCATAAAGTTTTCAAAAATAATTCAAAGTTCAATCAAAACCTTAATATGAATATTTTGACCAGAAGTTTCGAAATTTCTACAAGAGTTTCGAAACTTTCCAAGACAGTTTTCCAAAAAGTTTCGATATTTTTCAAGAGTTTCTAAACTATCTCAAGAGTTTCGAAACTTTTCCTAAAGTTTCGATACTTTGGCTCTAACAGTCATATTTTTCCAACGACTCTTTCGAAGATCGAAACTCTCCTAGAGTTTCAAAATTTTGTGTGCAGAAAGTCTTTCAACTGCTCCAAACCTTCCCGAACGACTAGAAACAGCTAGTAACTCATTCCAACATATAAAAACAAGTTCAATACACTTGAAGAATGTTACACAACACATATTCAAGCATTCAAACGCAATAGAAAAGTTTTTCATTCTTTATTTTCTTTCTCTTGTAAATATTTGTGTTTTTGTGAGCTTTAATTTGCAAACACATTCCTTTTTAGAGATTTTCTTATTTACAATTCTTTTCCTTTGTAAAGGGGTTTTGGTTCTAGCTAAGCCTTTGAAAAGCTAGAGAGTTTGTAAATGTTATCTCTTTATCCTTGAAAAAGAAATAACAAATTAATGGATTTGTTGGAAAATCCTAAGTGGTGAGCTTAGGTAGTGGATATAGACTTCATTGAGGGAATTCAACAACTATAAATCATTGTGCAAATTTTCCTATCTTTATACTCCTTACTCCCTAAACTTCAAAAAGTCAATTCACCATCTCTTGACATATTTCGACTGATCGATCGAGCTTCATAAAACCTAACGTTGGAAATGAATTTTTCGAAATCCAAGATATTAAAGGAAAATTCATAAAGTTCACAATTTTATTAAAAATCATAAAATTTAAAATTAAGTTTCTCTATATTTTAAATATTTTATTCAAATTGAATAAAAAACTCTTCGAATATTAAAAGATGGTAGAATACAACTTCAAAACTAAAATACTTTTTAACCCTATAATTTATAGGGTAAATTATTCAAACGGTCTCCTGACAATAGGGCATTGCTTTGTTGAGTCTCCAACTATTAAAAGCTACAAAATGGTCCTCCAACTATAGTGGTTGTTTTGTTGAGTCCCCAACTATTAAAACTTACAAAATAATTGTTCAACTATTCATATTTTAATGATGTTTATTGACACTATAGTTGCTTTCAAGCACTGGCTCGATAGCTTAATGTTTTAAACATTGATTTGATGACTTAATGTTTTAAACATTGACTTGATGACATATGTAAACAAAGAGTTTTGAGATCAAATTTTATCATATCCCAATCAACAGGTTAACATCCAGCTCAGACGATCAACAACTTTTTAACGGAAAATGAAGAATTTGAAACATGTGAATAGTTGAGTGACAATTTTGTATCGTTTAATAGTCGGGGGACTCAATATAACAATATTGTATAGTCGATGGATCATTTTATAATTTTTAATAATCAAATGACTCAACAAAACAATACCCTATAATTAGGAAATCATTTGTATATTTGCTCTTTTTTTAATAGTATAGAGGGGTTATATCGATATATAATCTTTCTTAGTCATTTAAAATGCACACACACCTTGTTGTAGACTTAATAAACTATTGGTTGCGAAACAAGTGTTGGGCTAATGTTTTGAGAGTCGTAAGCTAAGACATGTTCACTTTACCAAACCCTGTTTTGTATAGTCTCATATGGATTAGAGTTGGTAGTTTCAGAACTACTTCCACTTCGATTCATATAGATTTCATGGACAGTGTGAACATCTCAAACTTATGCTTGTTTCCACCTGAAAGTTCAAAACTGACTGTGGAACAAGGCAGGCCAACCACAGGACTTGTACATGTTCATGTAAACAAATGAAATTATCCATTTGGTACTCATCTAATTATATTTTTTTCGTAAAAGCGTACATGATTCTATATTTTGTTTCAATTTTAATTACCGACCGGTTAAAAATTAATCGTGATGTGGGTTTCAATTTTTCTTTATTTTTTCATCATTTTCGCTCTCCTCCTACATATTTTTTGCATCATGGAGTGTGTAATTAAAATGATTTTCTTTAGAAAAATCAATAATCAAAAATGAAATGGAAGTGATCATTTTAATAGTTTACCCTCATATGAATTTAGAGGTTGAATATGAAGAATCAATCATATATGGTAACAATGAAAATGTTTCTTCTAACACTAATGCAAATTGTCACGGCCTTGAATTTAGATCTCAGTCATGTGTTCAATTATTTGGTAGAGAAGTTTTATATTGAGTTTTAGGTTTGCTTAAACTACTTGACCTGATATTTGGAAGATACTAAAAAGTCCGATGTCTTAATGAAAAGGATAGTGACATTTTACCAAAGAATATTCCGAGGATTATTTTCTTAACTAGTGCAATATCATATCTAAAGAATGTAATCTGCTAATTGATGTGATTTATTATAAATTAATATAGTTGTCTTAGAAGATTTGTAGTATGTGGATATTTACCTTAGCCATTAATGAAAATGGACTTAGACGATCGACTCAAATTTGATCGTCTAAAGCTACATGAATCATTAGGCAGATCTCTACTCCCATGACATAATACACAACTTCTTGTTGTCCCTAGATCTATAAAAGATTATGCTTCACCTCAAGTTGAAGGGATCAGGGTCGGTTATTAGGGATGCACTCTGAGCAACCAATCGGGTCCTCATTAGGGTCCAAAGTTTTTCCATTATATTTTTTTATTTTTATAATTGAGTCTTTTAGTTTTTAAAATTTTATTTTTTATCTTTATAATTGATGTCTCTAATTTTTGTAATCCTACTTTTTTATCTTTATAATTGAGGCTCTTAATTTTTTCAATATCACTTTTTACATTTATAATTTATGATCTTAAGGTTTTCAATCTCACTTTCTAGCTTTATAATTGAGCTCCTAATTGTTTTTAATCTCATTTATCTACCTTTATAATTGATGCACCTAATTTTTTCAATCTCGTTTTCTAACTTTATAATCGATACCCCTAGTTTTTTAGTCTCACTTTTTACCTTTATAATTAAGGCCCCTAACTTTTTCAATCCTATTTTTTACTTATATAATTTAGGCCCTTAACTTTTTCAATCTCACTTTTTACCTTTAAAATTAGGACCCCTCATTTTTTAATCTCATTTTTACCTTTATAATTGAGGTCCCTAATATTTTTTAATCATACTTTTTTACTTTTATAATTTAACCGTATAATTTATTGTTCTTTATACAATTATAAGTCTATATTTTAGTTTCGCTCATAGTCCCGAAAATACCTGAGACGGCTCTAGAAGGGATTAAATTCAGTATTTTCCCTCCATAAGTTGCATTCACTCTCTTTATTTGGGTGAGCTGCAGATTGGTTAGAAGAGCTAGTTGATGATTCTCTAACCAACTGGGATCATATTGTAGAGAAGTTCGTCCTCCAGCCAGGGATGGATTGAGGGGGTGCGACCCTAGAAGTTTTAAACTCACTTATATTTTAAGTTTTTCTTTTGTATTTTCTATTGATTATCTAATTTCACATTTCCTAAAATTTTATAACTTCTCACTCGCTACAATTTTTAATATAACTTCTTAAATTCGTACCCTGTCATAAATTCTTACGTTCGTCATGTACCAATTATAACAATCAAGCAAAGAAATGACGTTATCAATTTCCAATAATATGATGATAAAATTCTACATGAGGCATGTGAATGGTTCAAGGACAGTGAAACAAATGTTCGCGCCATCAGATAATAGAGTGGTCGTTAATGCGACTAATCATAGGGGCATAATGAGCATTTTCATCTGAACGGTGTAAACCCTAAACCCTAAATCCATTAATGTTAATTGGAGCACTGTAATGTTGAAACTCTTCGAAGTGGTAAGGAGTTACCGAGTGCCTTTCCATCTGACGAAGTTAAAAGTAATTTCCAGCTTCGCCAGTTGAAGAGAGTTGTTATAGAGCATCTGAAAAGTTGTTGGGTGAATGTTAGAGATGAAACAGAAAAGAAAAAGCAATATGAAGAAATGATTAAGTCGGGTAATCATCTTCCATTGTTCCCTCCAAGGTTGTAAAATAAGATTGTGAAGCTCGACTAATGAAAAACCATCCAAACAGATCCCCTTAATATTGGAACAACCATTGAAATGCGCATTCAAATAATCAAATTTTCGTCCCAAAAGAAACGATTGATTGCTCTAAATAAGCGAAAAGTATTCTATTTTTCTCAATTATAAGAGTTAAACATTTTGCTTGAGTAAATAAAATATAGGAAGAATCAGTTTTAGAGCATGAATTAACCTTTTACGATATGAAGAGGAATGGCAAGAAGAGAATCTCCGTCATCAGAAAAATACCAAGATTCAATGGGTTCTCAACGAGGAAAGCTAAAAACATCTTGTCCTTCTCGTTGAAAACTATTGCATCTTGATGTTTTTCTAAGTATAAAAATCAATTAAGCTTTTAATGATTTCACCCCAATTAAAATATTTATCGAAAAGATGTTTGGATTTATGATTTCTAGTGAGTGGATAATTTAGGATAAACATTGTAGAGGTGATAACCATTACCTAAAAACAATGCTACTTAAAATCTCATGTTGACATCAAAATAATTAAGCGTATGTATGATAAAATTTAGTCAAATATAAGATAATTCTAATTACATTCAAATAAATGAACCCCTGTTGGTTCAAATAAAATGACTTAGTCGAACAGAAAGATCCCTTTCGTCTATCAAATTAAATGACATTCAAGATATGAAAATAATTTGATTCATGTATGAGGTTAAAAAGGACTTCTGTCGATTTCAAGAAAAGTTTGATGATGAGACCATATGTAATTCATTGAAATTTAAAATGTTAAATGGAGAGTTTTTTTTTTTTACAATGTACGTGAACGCAACAGTCTTTAAGTCTGAAATAAAGCATGAATTAGAGCGCAAAAATCAAATGAGTCCGTGGAGATAACAATAATGGCATCCCCAACAATATTCATTTTTCCCATCGTCTATCAATGCCAAATGAGAATGATCTTTCTAAGTTTCACCTGTGAAAGAATGGCAAAAAAAATTCATAGGATGTAAGAAAATAGTAAGGTTAGGCGAGTTTCTTAGCTCGTCCGCTCGAAGGAGCACCGTCCTCTTTTTTGGACCCAGACGCCTCAGGTTTTCTAGCCCAGGCAGGAGCTCTGTCTGGCTCGTAACGGTAGTCATAGAATAGTTCCTCTCCTGCATTAATTCGTTCTTTGGCAAATATACCCACACGGTGATCACCTGCAACCATAATGACCTGGGAGACAGGTGGATCAGCTCGAGAATGAAATGAAAAATGGCAAAAACAACCATGTGGAACTCCAATGATATCAATAAAACAGTCTTTCTCAAGTGCAAAGGCATCTAAGGTGTACCTTGGCGTAACAATTAGGTTCAGGAGAATGGTTGGCGAACTTCAATTTGTCACCCTTTCGGTATGCATCAAGAACAAACTGAAAAATGACAATCATGGTATCAAAATTTTCTAGGAACATAAAAAGAGAAGATAAATCTTCCAAAAGAAAGATGAAAGGCCATGCCTGATCATTCAGATTGAAGAGAAATGAAGAATTTTCTCGGTCATATATCTTCCCACGCTTATCTGCTTCCTTATGGGAAATCAGCTCCCCAGTGTACTCACCAAGGTACTCATGCTTCCCGACATTATTCTGAAGGATGGGCAAAACTTGAGCACTAAGTTGAAAACAGAAACAGCACAATCAAACAGATGAGTTCTTAAGTTACCTTCAGGAAAGCTCCCCATCCAGATACATCTGATCTTCCAAGCAAGACCTGTACATGCATCAAAAAGCCTTATCAGCACAAAGATACGAATATTCACTATCATAATCTCCTGGTGTCAGTTAGAATTACTCTACAGCACACGAATTATGTTATTCAAAACCAGGGAGTGGTGCTCGATAAAGTGTTTCTTAAATATAGTTTGAAGCATATTTAGACACCCATACATACGAGCTCAATTAAATGCAGAATAGAAAACACCATTACCCTTTGTTGTTGTTTTAGAAGAAGCTTCATATTTCTGCATTCATAATTGTCACCTCTTTGTGGAGGAACCCCGAGACTACCAGTGCCATCACCACAACTGCAGAAGTCAATTTCAAAGGATCAGTGTTAGTTCTACGATTGTATAGACTTACCTAGTAGTTAAGATTAACTCTAATTCTAATCCTAATTATTAGCATATTGTATTAGAATAAAACTCTACAAGGTAGTATAGTTCTAGTAGGAAAACTACTCCATGAATTGTATATAAATAGACTTGTACTCATCATAATTTCAAGGAGAGTTATCTCTTCAATATTCTCTAGCTTTCTTTGTATTCTTTATCTTTCTCGGTAAACTACATGGTATCAGTTGCTGGCGTCGACCCTCAACAATTTGCTCTCGCCACCAATTGGTAACTCTCCTGCGAGCAACCTTCTCGCAGCGCGACTCTGCTTGCAGCGCAATCCTCATCGCAGATCGGCATCATCGCCGCACAGCACGTGCGACCCTCATCGCAGCGCAGTCCTCTTCATCACAGTATTTAGAGCTGATCTCCTCACAGCGCCAGCGCTGCTCTCCTCGATGCTCCTCCAATCGTCGCTTACAGAAGTGTTCCCTACTAATTCGCGACAATCACAGCCCTCTTTGTCGCTATCTTGTAGTGACAATTTTTTCTGGTGTTCGATCGAACTTGGTTCTCGCCCAAGCCCTCGATTCGCATCTCCACCCAGCCAATGTCAATCATGACCGCTGCTAGCTCCTCGGATGACATCTCGGAGGTTCTCTCTCCCTATCCTCATCCGATTTTTGCCGAGAATTTTTCTGCCTCTATTACTTGTCGCCGGTTAAATGGTGACAATTACATTCCTTGGTCTCGATCGGTTCGCCTCTACATCATCAGTCGTCGCAAGCGGTATCTTCTTTCGGAGTCCACACCAATACCCGCTATCGATGATCCCGGATACTCAAATTGGCTTAGTGAAAATACTATGGTTATGTCATGTCTCATCAACTCCATGACCCTAGAAGTAAGCGAAAATTTTGTGCTCTATGAAACAGCTGCTGAAACATGGAGCGCTGCCAAGGCTACTTATTCCAATCTGGAAAATTCAGCTGCCTTGTTCGAGATTGAATGTCAGCTTGCTAATCTGAAGCAGGACAATATGAATGTCACCCACAACTGGATTTATTCAAATCTCATGCATGGAGATGTGTGAATGATGCTCGATTGTTTAAACAAATCGTGGAAAAAGGTCAAATATTCCAATTCTTATCCGGGTTACATCAAGATCTTGACGAAGTTCGAGGAAGAATTTTAGGTCTTAAACCTCTTCCTTTGATTTTTTTGATAAGATTTGAAGGCCTCATTAAAAACCACCTTCTTGATTAATGGAGTTTATGTGAAAACTCCTTAATCAGCGAAAGATGGAAAAGAGTGCCTTAGAACTTTATTAAATAAAATAGGAATTACAACCTAGAGAAAGAAAACCCAATAACCCTTACAAGTAGCCACTCGAAAAATCAAAATACATAAAATTCAGCCTATACCAGCCTTTGCTAAGGCATCAGCTTCCATATTAGCTGTCCTTGCAACCCATCTAACAATTCCCCCACAAAACCTAAGTTTTACAACTATATCTTTAACAATAAAAGCATACACAGTTGGACAAGAATCAGCTTTAATAATCCAGTCCACTGCAATCATGGTGTCACTCTCTACAATCAATCCAAATTTTTCCCTCCCTTGGATAAATGAGACGAAAACAAGTCCCCTTTGAATAGCCTCGAGATCCTTCAAAGTTGGAGGACCCGGACCCTCTGACTCCTGAAAAGTTCCTAATATTGCACCAAGATGATCCCTTAAAATGCCTCCCATCCACTTTTCTTCCAATCACTACTAGTGGCAGCATCCACATTCAGTTTAATGAAGCCTATAGGAGGACACCAGGGAATAAGAAGACTTCAGGAAGTTGTAGGACGAATGAAAATCCCCTAATGAAGGTTCCGAAATTAACGAGTCTTTAGGAATAGAGATATCCTTATACTTAGCTAGGAACCAAGATGCAAGCCTGACTCTTGTTAAAAAGAATAATTCAATCTGATCCAACTTTCCCCTTCAAAAACGATAAAATTTCTGGTTTTCCAAATGGTCCAAATAACAACCCCAGGAATGAATGACCATATAGCAGAATTTGGCTTCAACTCTTCCCAGCCTAATAGAAAAGTTTTAGCATCTTCATGAAGAAGAGAACTAAAACTCCACAATTTTAAAAATTTATTCCATAATGCCCACACAACCGAACAAGAAAAGAATTAATGTGAGGAAGAATCTTCAAACTTTTTACAAAGAGGACATAAAACATCATCAATTCCTTGAACTCCTCTTCTTGCCAATTCTGTTTTAACAGCAAGCTTTTGTTGTACAATTTGCCACAATAATGTTTCAACTCTTGGTGGTAGTAATCCTCTTCAAACAACCTTCATCCAGAATTGAACCTCTTCAGAACCAGTAACACACTTCTTAACACAAGAACCGACTGAAAACATACCATCCCCACTGCCTTTCCAAATCAAGCCATCACTAGATTCCTTAGACAAAGAAACAAAAGAAATAGTACTCATCAAGTTACACCAATGTTCCATCTCCCACTCATTTAAATTTCTTCTAACTTGAACATCCCAAATCCAGCCTGATGGATGAAAATCTCCAAACTCACATAGTTTTCCTGATTTATTAGTAGCAATCAAGAACAATCTTGGAAAAAGGACCTGTAACGGATAATTTGTTGCCCAAACGTCCTGCCAAAATTGAATGTGCCTTCTATTGCCAACTTGAAAGATACATAAGGAACGAAAATTAGAACCAAATGGATCTTGCTTGAAATAATTATTAACCACTGATTTCCACTGCCAAGAAGTACAAGCTGGGAGTTTACTGTCAAACAATAACCTAGAGGAATCAAAACTATATTTAGAACAAATAAATCTCCTCCAAACAGAATTCCTCTCGTTTGCAAATCTCCAGGACCATTTCCCTAGCAAAGCTCTGTTCATGAAATTCAGATTACGTACTCCCAACCGTCCCTCATTCTTAGGTTTACACACTTCAGCCCATTTAACCCAATGAATTTTCTTCTTACCATTGCCACCTCTCCATAGAAAATTAGACATAAAAGAATTGAGGGCCTTAAGAATTGAAGATGGAATTTTAAACATTGACATAAAATATGTGGGCACAGTGAGCATAAGACGGATTTAATCAAAACCATTCTTCCAGCTAGTGATAAAGTCGCTGCCTTCCAACCTGCTAATTTTGAATGAAAATTCTGCACCACTAGTTCCCAAATAACTGAGGAATTCTTTGTTGCACCTAGAGGCAAGCCTAGATAATTAGAGGGAAAACTACCCACTGCACAGCCAATGGAATCTGCCCAAGTTTGAACCTCCTCTAAAGATATGTTTACTCCGAACAGTCTGCTCTTCTTGAGATTTAGGTGCAACCCTGACATAACCTCAAACACTCTAAGCACTCTCTTCACATTCATAATTTGCATCTTCGAAGCCCCACAAAACATGATTAAATCATCCGCAAATTGTAAGTGTGTAATATTGAAAGACCCTTCCTCCTTACCAACTTTCAAACCAGAAAATAATCCCTCTGAAACCGCCCTTAGGATTAGTAAATTCAATAATTCCCCTACTAGATTAAATAATAAGGGAGAGAGTGAACAACTCTGTCTTAGCCCCTTTGCTATTGGAAACTCCTCCGTTGGAACCCTATTAACCAACACCGAAATCGAGTAACACACCTCCTAATCCAACTAATCCAAGTAGAGTTGAATCCCATTTTTTCCATTACCTTGAACAAAATAGGCCAATCAACAATATCGTAAGCCTTTTTGAAATCAACTTTAAATACACAGCCATTTAGCCCTTTCTTTCTCCAATAATCTATACCCTCGTTTGCAATTAGAGAACAATCCAAAATCTGTCAACCGGGTATGAAAGCAAATTGAGTAGGGCTTATGATATCTCCTATACAACTTCTAAGCCTCCCTGAAAGACACTTGGTTAAAATTTTGTAATCTCCTCCCACTAAGCTTATGGGTCTAAAATCATCAAGGCACCCATTGTTAGTCCCTTTAGGAATAAGGGTGATAAAGGTATGGTTAATACCATGCTCCCATTCTTTCCCCAAAGAGAATTTGTGAAAAAAATCCATAATGTTATCCTTTAGCACAAGCCAAAACCTTTCGAAGAAACCCAAATTCAATCTGTCCGGTCCCGGAGCTTTGTTACTATCACAAGACTTTAAAGTCTCCCACACTTCCTCCTCAGAAAAAACCTTCTCTAAAAGACCTTTTTGTTCAGAAGAGATACTAGGAAAAGTCAACCCTATATCTTCAACCTCCAATATAGACCTCTCGTTGAAAATTTTAAAAAAGTGATTTTTTACAGCAGCTTTAATAACATCTGGGTCTCGTGTAAAATTCCCATTCACTTTTAAAACAGTCAATGCATTTTGTTTTCTCCTCACCGATGCACAAGTATGAAAGTATCTCGTGTTTCGATCTCCATCATTCACCCACCTTTGTCTAGACTTTTGATGTCAAATTTGCTCCTCAATTCTATGAAGTCTCCACAATTCTCTTCTACACGCCTTTAACTCATCAACAATCTCCTTAATCGAACTGTCATGCCTTTGGTGTGCTACCTCCTCAAGCTTTTGAATTTTGTTTTCTAAATCAGAAATTGCAGCTCCCGAAAACTTGTTTTTCTTCCCTGCCCATTGTTTGATGGCTAATTTAGAGTTCTTCAAAATACTAAGAATTCTCGATTTTCTCTTGCGCTTCTTGCAATCTGTAATTGTTTGACAAACCATCTTCCTCCATCACATAATTGAAGAGTCTAAAAGGCATATTTCCCCAATTAAAACCACCATTTTGTAACAATAAGGCATTGTGATCTGAGATGGACTTATGAATAAGAGACTGAATAATCTCAGGAAAAGAAGCCAAGAATTGTCCATCCACCAAGAATCTATCTAATCTAGCAAAAGTGAGATAATCTTGGTTATTACTCCAAGTGAACCTTCCC